CCCCCCCCCCCCCCCCCCCTCCCTCCCCTTCTCAAAGCTGAGTCACCTCACAGGATATGGAGAGATGGATCTGCCTCCTCTGGCTAGATGCATTTGGAGGTAAACTGGCTTCACAAAAGCCTCACCTTTCTTTGGCTTTGACAAGGCTGGCAACAGGTAGACGTAAAGAATGGAAATGAAGGTTACTTCTTGTTGATGCTTATGCTTATGGATTATTATGACTAATGATGCCTAAACAATGTTGTATTCCTCTTCTTTTCCCTTTTTTTTACTCTCATTGTTAGATGCTGATGAAGTTATCATGAACTATTCAGCAAAGCCAAGGCTTGAGGAAGGAAGCCAACACGTCACTGTATCCATGCACAAGAAGACAATGATGATCTGTGCCCACGAGTGGCAAGAGTCAATGATTGATTGGAGAAGCCGAATGAGAACCTATCCTTTTCAGGTCCAGTCCAACTGAAAGCTCCACAGGTATGGAACCATCACAGGTGAGCTTGAAGCATTACAAAAAAATGCCTGCAAATTAACATTTTTATTGATATTACTCCACTCTCATGTGCCTTGCTCTTATAATAATTAATTACTGAAGGATACTTATATTCTGATATGATGCATTACAGTATAATATCAGGTCAGAACTTGTTGCTCATAAACCTCATGCTGCAATCTCTGTTTTGTACAGCTTGACTTTATGTGAATCTCAGCTGCTGGGCATGGGCTTGGTATCAAATTTCTTCCTAGTAATAGGAAGTCATATGAATCATTCAAACCATGACAGCTAATCTATGTGATTGCTTGCATGTTGCAACAATTCTTTATACATTTGACTTCCACCTGAGCATGGCATCCACAATCTTCTCAGTTAAAGTAATTAAAATCTCAAAAGTCAGCATTGATCGCAGGTAAATGACAAACACTATCCTGTTGTCCTCAATTTCAGATTACTTGTTCTTGATTCTACTGTTTGCAAGCCTAAGAATCTAATGGAATTCTTCCCACAGCATTGAAGCTTTCAGCTCCCCCCCCTCCCTGTCCTTGTTTGCTCTACAATCATTGATCGAGTTTGGAGCTCAGCAAGAAGAGCACATGGGTTTCATTGAAGTGGTGTCCCAATTAGCTAAGCCTGCTTTGGATGTACATGGACAATGCTTCCACGTGCACATGCAGTGGTCACTGGCACATCTTGGAACAGGGAGTAGGTATCCAAATCATCTTCTCCATCATTAATCCAGTGTGAGCAGGGAAGCAGGTGGTCATCTGCAGATGAAGTCCAGGATGAAGGCCACTACAATAACTCTTACTGGAAGACAATCAATCATGTATATAACTGACAAAATGCTTTAAAGAAGGGGACATGAAATTTTGCAAGGACATCCATGAGGTACAATCATGTAGCATACTTGATTTGTACACATGTACATGCCAAGATCATGCCCAATTCTATTCTCTCTTTCTCAGAGAAAAAAAAAAAAGTTCAAATCATCTGCAGAACTCTAGTAACATTTTGAGGATGGTGGTAGTCAAGGCTTTTAATGACTTGATGTTGCATATGCAGACTGGTCATGTACTGCAACACATCCAGATTAGTGAATTCCATGAAGAATAAAATAACCAGTGGATGTCCCAATGCTCAATCTATGTAGCATGCATGCCAAAGTGGTACTTGTGGACTAAGGTAACTTAACTTCATAAGATATGCAGGGCCAAATTGGCACTCCATCATTGATTCCTTTTCCTCTCATTTCTGCTTAGTGATTAGGTAGAGGCAAAATGAGAAAGGCAGAGAGGAAAAGCCTATAGTTCTGAAGAAAGAGAGATTCTTTATAAAATACATCACTTACTCAAATATTAAGCATATAGTACTACTAGCACAGTATCTCAACCTCTTAAAAAAAACAACTGAGATGAAATAAATATTTTTATAAAACTTTTTAAAAATATTTATAAGAGCTTGAACTTTATCAGTAGGCTTTGTTATTCTGAATTTGGTTCTCTAGACAACTAGATAACACATTTATTTATAGATGTAGGATGACATTTTAAACTAAGATTAAAAAAAATCCAGGAAAGGATAAAAAAAAGAATGGATTACATCTTATTTACTCTACTTGAACTTAGAAGAAGGATCTTCACAAGAGTAAAGAAAGATCCACTCAGTTCTCTTTCAGAAACCACACTATTGGATGAGCCCATCCAAGAGTCCACCAATGTTTTTTTGTTGTGAATGTTCTAATAGATAGGATTTGGATGGACTTTTTTTTTAGGGTGCACCATGTTTTTAATTGTTGTGGATAATTTATCATCCATGCATGCTCACCACACTCCATTGTGCTGTTCTTCCAAAGAAGACAAAGGAATGTAAGCAAGAGGTGACCATGGGTGTAGGCTTTCTTATATGTGGGGCATGACTTGGTAATATTGAACACCTGAAATATAACAAAAGAAAATTCATACAATATATCAATTCTATTATTATTGTTTCCAGTAAATACCTAATACATGAGTCTTTAATTAACAAGAATCAATATACATAATCTGTTCTCTACAAAGAATAGGGACATCCTTTTGTATCGGAGTGTTTAGAAAATTATCCTAAATAATCTATAAATTCTCAATTATTTTTGTGTTTCTTATATAATTTTGATTTGTGTACTTCGACAAAGTATGGTTTAATTTGCTCATATAGTCAAGGTGTCCATGACACTTTTGATTCTTGTTTTCTATTTTTTTTTGATATTTTTGAGTGTTTTTCTAGGGAAATTGTATGAGGTAAAAAGTACGATTGCTCCATTCTACTTTGTTGAAAGTATTTTTTTTTATTTTTTAATAGTAAAAAAATATTTCTAAGTGTGAGGCATGGAAAATAGTCAAAACAACATTATTCTCATATGTCATAGGTTAATTTTTAGTTAATGATCTTGCGGTGACAAGCATCAACTGTCTCAACTCTAGAGGCCCTTAGGTGACACATGAGACTTTAATTATATATTTGACGGGTGGTATATATATCTTTAATGTATCCATTTTCTATTCAACAAAAGTGATAGGAATATTGGGCTTGCATAAGCTTTGGAGATTCTTTTTTATGCAATTGTTCGTCTATTTTAAATAGCCTTTTATATCTTATAAAGGTCAATTATTTTGTGTTGCTTGTGATCCATATTATCTTACTCATTTGTGTGTGGTGATGATATGTTATCATGAGTACTGTATATCCGTATGTTCGTCATTCTAATATTTATTTTTATTTTTATAATTTTTTTGTGAATTATATGAAATTAAGGTCTATATTGACCCTTGCTTATGAATATCACATGAGTACTATATACCTTAAGTAATCTAATATGATAAAATATTAATAGATTAGGTAACTTGGATACTTTAACACCAGAGTAATCTTTTGAGAGCATGTTGTGCACATGCTATCATACTACTTGCACAAACTTGCTAAGTATATCTTTAAGTATTTTACTACAATACCAACACTCATCTTCTTATTTTAAATATAGGTTGAGGATCTATATGCAAATAATCCTACTTTTATGGATCATATTATAAATGTAAAATAATGAAGAATATAATTGGACCATTATATTATAAATGAAAGGAAATTTTGGGATTCTCTATAAATTGGTTAACCAAAAATATATAGGGTAAATTTCTTTAAACAAAGCCCCAACTTTTTATTGTTTTCATAGAGCATCCTTTATTTTTTAAACGATGAGATTATCCTTGGCCTTTGCCCTATTAATCATTGTTGTTATCCCATTGCCTTTACTGCCACCATCATTCCCTTGTCCATTGCCTCTACCCTTGCTCTTGTTCGTTGCTCTCTGGTGCACCCTCGCCCTTGTCCGTCGCTATTGTCGCTAATGCTTTTGTTTGTCACCTTTATCTCCACCACAGGTCATGTCACTGTTGTCACTTCTCTCCTCACTTCCACCTCGAATGCTTCTCGCAATGCCAACTTCAAGGTGGGCGTCCTTGGCCTTCTCCTCGCTTTTGCCCAATGCTCCCCTGGTTCCTCGCTCTCCACTACTTCTGCTCACTTACTTCCACCTGTCACATTGAGATGAGATGGAAACGACAAAAATGATATGAGCTATGGTAGAGATAGAGAGGAGGAGAGAGGAAAAACAGTAGATGAGGACAGGCGAAAGCGGACAGGCGAAAGTAAGTGAGTAAGGTTCGAAAGCTAGTTGATGAGGACAACCATGAGGACTTCACAAGGATTGTGAAGACAATGACGAAATGACGAGCATGACAACAAGCCTCATGGGGCTAGTGAGGACGACAACAAGACCTTTATAGGTAACGTAATAGTGATAAAGATGATGACTAGGAAATATGATGGAGGTGACATGGCCTCGCGATGAGATAGAGGTGGGAGACGATAACGATGAGGCTGAGGCTAAATGTAATCTTATCCTTAAAAAAACAATGAGTGTTTATTGGGAATCAAGTAAAACGGGATGATTTATGAAAAAAAAAAGTAAAAAAATTAAAAAAAAATTTGGATAACTTGTTCAAATATATAAGTAAATGTCCTGTAATCTTTTTTATTAAAAATTAGACTCAACTAGGCTGATGTAACTTTATACATAAAATTCACAAATAATAATTTAGTTTTTGGTGATGAAACTACTGGGTAATATTACAAACCTTGATGAGAACTGAGACCAAAGTCATATACCTTGTTATTTGCTGCCAAATTTAAGTTTGGTTTAGTGGCTGAAAGAAAGATGATTTCTTGATCACTCAACATTTAGCAAACCTATTGTTATCCGTTTGTGGATCCAAATGTACCAAAAATGGCTACTGGGAAAAGATCAAACTTGCTCTTCTTGGACAGAGAATATGGAGAAAGGTCAACCACTTATCCTCCTAAATCCAAGTCAACCAGGGATGGATACATCCATTATATAAACCTAGGAAACCTCTCTACTTACATCACCCCTCTCCTCCTCCTCTTTTCCCTCCCAGCTTGAGAAGACCTCGCAAACATGACTTTGAGACCACCCACTCTCTTCTTCCTCCCCTTCCTTCTCTTCCCCTTGGCAGCTTCCCACAACATCACCAGGATCCTCGCCCAGTTCGACGACTTCTCCACCTTCAACAGCCTCCTCACTCAAACCCAGCTGGTCTCTGACATCAACAGCCGCCGCACCATCACCGTCCTCGCCGTCGACAACGGTGCGGCCTCGTCCGTCTCCAGCCGCCCCACCGACGAACTCAAGAAGATCCTTTCGGTGCACGTCGTACTTGACTACTACGACGACGCGAAGCTCCACAAACTCCCCAACCACACCGCCATTCTGACCACGCTCTTCCAGGCCACCGGCCTCGCCTCCGGCCGGAACGGGTTCCTCAACGTGACCAACATGGGCAACGGGCAGATCGCCTTCGGCTCCGCCGTGCCGGGCTCGTCCCTGGTCGCTAACTTCGTCAAGGTCGTGGCGACGCGGCCCTACAACATCTCGGTCATCCAGATCAGCAGCGTCATCGTCCCGCCCAACATCAGCGGTGGGGCCAGCAACCACAGCACATCGCCGACGGCAGCGCCAGTCGCGGCACCTGCGCCGGCGAATGCAACACGGACACCGACGCTGGCCCCTTCCGAAGACGCCCCATCACCAACTCCCGACGCAGCGTCTCCGAGTGACGTGTCGAACGGGCCCTCACCGGCGGACGCACCGGCAGACGCACCGGCTTCAGACACTCCTGTGGCGTCACCGCCGGGCCCAATGAGCCCGGACGGATCACCGGCCGGAGCTCCGTCGAACAACGCCGACGCTCCGGCAGGTGATTCTTCAGCCGCCGAGCGTGTGGTTGCTGGTGCCGGAGTTGCTATTACCATGGCTTTCGCCATGTTAGGTTCTCTCCAAATGAGTTAGAGAGAGAGACAGAGACCATTAGTGTTACGTACGTACATGACCAAGCATGCATCTTTATTGCATGGTTTTGCAAGGTCATGATATAGTATGAGTATAACACCAAGTATAGTCACAAAGTAAAGGTCCTTGGTGTGTAATTGTATGTCTCTCTGCACTTAAAGCAGACCTGCAATGTATGCATAAACTCGAGCGTTTTTGACAACACATGTTTTGATATTGTATGCTCTCTCTTTTTCTCTCTCTCTCTCTCTAGTTGGTTTGTAAGACAGATTTCACAGCCAGCTACAGCAGAACATGAAATCCAATAACCATCAAACACTACTTCAATCTAAAAGCATTCCATCTTATTCAGGTATCAAATTGGCCTGTCAATAATTCCAGCTTACTAAGCATACATAACTTGGTTAGACAGAGATGAATAATATGTTTGGCCTTCGGCCAAATTTCCAGAAGTAAATGTGTGCAAATTCACCTAAGGTAAAGCACAATTATCTTGCAGAAAAGAATTAAAAGTTTGTGACCTCGTCAAAACGATTGGATGCAACTAAGAGAGAATTGCTTGCATGTAGCAGGCACAGCAAATTATTCATTGCTCGGGTCGAACGGCGGCAGGCCCCATTCTTTTGGCTCGAAATCCATTAGGGAACCAAGAACCTGGTCTGCTTCTTTCTGATGCGAAGCATCCAAACAAGGATCTGGGACCATAATCACATTCCTGCATGAAGCATTCAATAGAAGGAAATGAGAAAACGATTTTTGACTGGATGGGGATGTGTATCTCAATCACTTACATCCCGGCATTTTTAGCTGCTGCTACTCCTGATGGTGCATCTTCAAAAACTAAAACCTTGCTTAGGTCCACGCTACCCTATTTAATAGGCAATAACCAATGAGCATAAATTGGAAACCATGTAAGAGATGATCATGATCCGTTTCTCACAACTTAAAGAGTAAAACCGCATATATCTATTCACAGAACAAATTGATCATTGGCACCTCGAATCTTTTTGCAGCAGCAAGAAATACTTCAGGAGAAGGTTTGCCTTTTGTCACTTCTGGATCATCACCCATGACCACATGGTGCATCATAGCAATTATCTCACCATGATTTTGCGTCTTCAGAGCAAAGTGTCGCTTATGAGATCTGTCGAAAATTGTTAATTATTGGAAATAATGTCCCATTTGGGCTCATGGGCAGGCCACATTTTAGGAAAAGGAACACTAGCAAATAGGATTTTAAGATTAAAATTATTCCCAGAAGTAAGCAGATCTTCAAGGATCAAAACACAAAACGTTTTCGTAACGAAGTGAGTATGACAAAAAAACTTACCCTGTTGCAATACACATAGGTATCCCCTTAGCATGGAGATGACTGACAAGTCTCTTGACACCTGTTTGAGAATAATTTATGCAACTAAAACTCAGCAACATGATAGAAGAAAAGTTTCTGATACCTAAAGGAAAAAAAAAAATCTTAAGCACTAAAAGATTGTTTTTGTTTGTGGTGGATCTACCTCTGCCTATAGAAATGCATCTTTGCCATGTAAGTATGTAGAGAAATCAATACTCATCCAAAACTAAAGTTCAACATACATAAATCAAATGTTAACAGATATCCTTTGGCAATTCAATTTCAATATCTATCTTATGAGGCACTCTTGAGTGCCTGAGAAAGCAAGAAACTTCTGTTTGAACTTGGAGAGTCATTCTTCTAAGAGCACTGCAACCACTTGGTAAAGTAGACAATGATATCATTCCTGATATCTGAAAATGGACATAATTATTTTTCATATTATGGAATATCCAGATAGCTATGCCTGTACTTAACCTTACAAAACAGTTGCTGAGCACTTTAGTTGTGCAACCAAAATAAAGCAAGCATTTCCACATACACTCAACTCCAAAACTGAACATCACCTATCCTATTGTGTAATTGCCTTACCATATGAGGTTATGCAGGAATTTTCCTAGAGTGCCAACTCATAAAATGGAGTAAAATGTATAAGTTGTCAAACTATTAAATAGTTTATGACCAGCAAGCTTCAAGTGGAATCATTTAGCTATTCACTGACCACCAGTGTTCTGAAACAACAAAGTTACCATCTAATGACCAGTGCTTATTCTGAGAGCTAAGAGATAGATCCAGGTAGGGTCTCTTTCTAATGTGTTATTTTGTCCATTTGCTGAGTCAATTGGTTTGACACATAAGCATAAGACAACCTATGTAATCTCAAGGTCTGAGCATTTATCCAATGCTTAACATTGCATTGGTTTATTCCTGCCCCGCAGAGACCCTGATCTCTTCATTGACCATTCTATAGTAGGAAGACAAGATCACAAGGGTGTCACTAGTTCCATACCTAAACTAACAGAACAGCACAACACCAATAGATCATTCTACTTCTTTAACAAAGGGTAAAAGGTGCTTTGGATGTAAGCGGTCTACCAGCCACCTAAAGCACATGAACTTCGTTTGACTCATAGTTTCCTACATTCCAAGGATGTCTTTATATATGATTTGATCATCCATCACACTACTCCCAAGTCCTCTTTTTCAACAACATCATCCAATCTATCATTCCTTGAGAGTGCTAAAATGGAACTACCAACTATGTTTTGGCATATTCAAGGATCTTCAAATTGTCTATGTTGGCGCCTTCACTTAATTTCCACAAGATCCAGCATGCATTCATGAAACCAATGTATAGCTACTGAACCATCCATTCAGGCAAAAGATAAAGCAGAATAACAACCTTCAAAAGTTCTTCACAGAAGTTCACAAGCATTATACCGAACACCTGGACTGCAAATAGTGATGCACTTGCGCACTCAGAAATCAAAACAAAAAGCATCTCTTTTTTTGCCCTTTCTAACACGTCAATCATCTAATACGTCATGAATTCAAAAGATCAAGAAAAGAGAGAGGCAAAATACGTCCACGAACATAGATCATCGACTCACCGGGCAACTGCTGGCACGTGGGAAAGAGGTCCTGCAGCATCCCTTCCCGCTCCTCGAGGAAGGCCTCGGGCGTGAGGAGGCCATCGAGGCCGGACTCGCGGACGAAGATTCGGGCGGACTCAATGGCCTTCTTCCCCATCATCTGGGCCTTGAGAGACCAGTCGAAGGTCTTCCCAAACCTCGCCAGGATCTTCTCCTGCACCAACGTGTAGAACGGTTCCGTGTCTACGCATCGCAAAGCGATCGCACGTCAACGACACCAACAAGAGGATCACAGACGGGGAGAGGGGGAACACATCGATAGCATACCGAGGAGGAGGCCGTCCATGTCAAAGATAACGTGGGTGATGGGGGCTCGAACGCGGGGGAGGAGCGGGGTCGCCATGGCCAGATCTGCGCCGGAGCGGCCGCCAACGGTGTCGGTGTAGAGCAGAGTGGTCTCCCTCTCTTCCTTTTGTTATCGGATTCGGATGCTCCTCCTCCTCAAGTACTGGACACCCACACCGCCCCCAAATCCAGGATCCGCACACGACACCTTTTCCTCACTATTCGTGTTTATTTTATTTTTTGTCCTACCCAGATTCATACCTTCACCTACGTAAAGAAAAAAAGAAACCGTCATAGCAGAGAGATGGGGTGCTTTTTTGGGGAAGATAAGTAAGTACGACAATGTTTACACATTTAGAGGATGGTGGCCCATTATTTCAAGCATTTGATAGTAACGAAGATTTAATATATAAATATGTATATATAACTTTCAAATGTATTCAACGGTATGAATACATAATAGAGAAATACTTATATATATATATATATATACAAAAGAGGAATCCAATGCATCTTCTTCTGATGGCCTCATATCTAATGCCTATCATCTGATTTCATGCATCATTGACACAGAAGAACCCTTGTCAAGGTGGTAGTTGCTGTTGGTTGACACATAGTTTTCTTGGTGACTTTAAGGAGGATCAACCAATGTAACTCATCATCATAGGTCAAAAGTTTCACAATACAAAGTGGAAGAAGAATGATCCAAAATAGTGGTTCATCTTCTTCCACCTTTCTTTTTCTTTTCCTTTTTATATTATCCCACTTTTGTTCTAGTAAGCAACATTGTTGATTGTGTTCCTGGACTTGTAGACCTTGATCAATGTGGTTGGTAAGTAAAAAGAATTTAAGTCAAATGAGTTCTAATTAATATATTAGTTGCTGTTCAACTTAGTATTTAAATCAAATAAAGATGTCATACAACTGCAATTCCAATATAATTAGATACGGAAAATATCATATATAATGTTGGAAGCTAATAACGAGAGAGAAATAGATGCATGTTTGCCTCGCATGCATCACGTCATGGATTTTGCTATTATTTTGGTTGTATGAGACCAAATGCCGAAGCTAAGATTTATTATAAGATAAATATGCTTAAGTTGGCATATTATCCAACACAAGGTTGGTGAGATCGCACCAATTCCTACGTCAACATCCCCATCACCCGCCAATCGCATCTTCCGCCATCGATTCCGATCTGACGGTCCTGATTTCTCCTCTCCATGGTGTGAGTCGGGTGACGCCACGCCGACGTCACGCCCACCCACCTCCCACCCATCCGGTTCGGGGTAGGTGAGACCGGGCCCAAGCCGGTCCGGTTCGCGTCTCCATGGACGGCTGCGATCGTTATGTGGTTGGTAAAAACGCTTGCGTAAGGAGATCTTGGCCGCTGGTTTACCGTCCGCGGTCAACAATTGCTTGCCGCAATCCCGCGCTCGGACGTGTCTCACCAAACCCACGTCAGCATTTGTCTTCCTGTTTAGCCAATAGGAATTTTGTTAATGCCCAGTGTCGTCACCAACTCCCCGATGCGCTTCGCCGGTATATTATCTTGCGTGCCTCCTCCCACCATCTCCTTCTTCAGGGAAGAGAGCGCAGCCAGATTACTCTTCTCTTTGTTTTCTACTGTCAGCAGAGCAGCTGCCTCGGTTATCGCCATGGGTTCGTACTCGATGCCGGAGGAGACCATCTTCAGGTCGAAGCTGCCGGATATCGAGATCGACAACCGCCGGTCGCTCCATGATTACTGCTTCGAGCATCTGGCCGACTTCGCCGACCGCCCATGCATCATCGACGGCGCCAGCGGCTCTGTCATGAGCTACGCCGAAGTCGACGTCGCCGCCCGCCGCGCAGCCGCCGGCCTCCACGGCCTCGGCGTTGGGAAGGGCCAGGTTATCATGATCCTCCTGCAAAACTCCCCTGAGTTCGTCATTGCCTTCCTGGCTGCCTCGCACCGCGGGGCCGTCGCCACCACCGCCAACCCCTTCTACACCCCGGCGGAGATCCACAAGCAGGCCGCCGCCTCCGGCGCTCGCGTCATCGTCACGGAGTCTTGCTACGTCGACAAGGTCCGGGAGTTCGCTCGGGAGTGCGGCGTCACCGTCGTGTGCGTCGACCACCCGCCGGAGGGCTGCCGCGCCTTCTCGGAGCTCCTGGCCGCCGACGAGCGCAACCTCGCCGAGGTCGAGATCAATCCCGACGACGTGGTGGCACTGCCGTACTCTTCAGGGACGACCGGGCTGCCCAAGGGCGTCATGCTGACCCACCGGAGCCTGATCACCAGCGTGGCCCAGCAGGTGGACGGCGACAACCCCAACCTCTACTTCCACCAGGAGGACGTGCTGCTCTGCGTGCTGCCGCTCTTCCACATCTACTCCCTCAACTCGGTGCTGCTTTGCGGGCTTCGGGCAGGCGCCGCCATCCTGATGATGAAGCGGTTCGAGATCTCAGCCATGCTGGAGCTGGTGCAGCGGTACCGGGTGACGGTGGCGCCGTTCGTGCCACCGATCGTGCTGGAGTTCGTGAAGAGCCCGCTGGTGGACTGCTACGATCTGTCGTCGATAAGGACGGTGATGTCAGGTGCGGCGCCCATGGGGAAGGAGCTGGAGGACAAGTTCATGGCGAAGCTTCCCAACGCCAAGCTCGGCCAGGTGAGACACACAACACTACAACACAACGTAAATGTTCGATCCACCACCTCACGCGAACGACTCAAAACGATCCAATCTCTATTTCTCAGGGCTACGGGATGACGGAAGCAGGGCCGGTGCTCTCGATGTGCCTGGCGTTTGCCAAGGAGCCCTTCCCGATGAAGTCCGGCACGTGCGGCACCGTTGTGAGGAACGCCGAGCTCAAGATCGTCGAACCCGACACCGGCGCCTCCCTCGGCCGCAACCACCGGGGCGAGATCTGCATCCGCGGAGCCCAAATCATGAAAGGTCCGTCTCCTCCTTGTTCCATTCCGTTGACCAACACACACAAGCCTTTGACCAAATCAAAATAGTATTCCCCCGTACACGTTCACACCAACCAAACGGATAGCACACATCCCCTTGTCTGTCAACAAGTAGAGAGAGAGTGTATGTGTTCAAAGTGGTTCGAACACACGTTGACCTGCTGGCTGCTGCTGCTGCTGCTGCTGTCATCGTACAGGATACCTCAATGACCCAGAAGCAACCAAGAACACCATAGACGAGGAAGGCTGGCTGCACACAGGCGACATCGGCTTCGTGGACGACGACGACGAGATCTACATCGTCGACAGGCTGAAGGAGATAATCAAGTACAAAGGATTCCAAGTTGCTCCAGCCGAGCTCGAGGCCCTGCTCATCACCCACCTTGACGTCGCGGACGCTGCCGTCGTCCCGTAAGTACCTCCAACCCAGCTCAACCCGTTCACGTAGCTTCTTCTATGGATACTGATGCAGCAAATTCGTCTTGCCAGGATGAAGGATGAGGTGGCCGGAGAGGTCCCCGTCGCCTTCGTCGTCCGTGCCCATGGATCTCAGATCACGGAGGAGGAGATCAAGCAGTACGTCTCGAGACAGGTGGTGTTCTACAAGAGGATCAACAGGGTATTCTTCACGGAGGCGATTCCCAAGGCGCCATCGGGAAAGATACTGAGGAAGGATCTCAGGGCGAAGCTAACGAGTGAGTTCGCGTCCGCTTGATCTCCATCCCACGGTCCGTATATATCTTCTTTTTCTTCCTGAAATGCCCCGGGCGAGCGACCGGGAGTGCTTTTATGGGTGGCCGCTTGCGAAGGGGTATTTTGGTCTCCCGAAGAAGCTATAAAAGGTGTATATTTGGTATATTAAGCTTGTAATGTTGTTATACGACATGGGATGTATTTGTTGGAATGGAACGTATGATTGCAGCTTAATATTAAAGTGGTATTTAATACAGATACACTTGCATATACAAGATTAACTTTTATATTTGCTCTATAATTTGAGTTCCGAATATGTGTATTTATTAAATTCTTGTAAAATCTTTAAAATTAGGTACGTCTTTTTTATAACTAATAAATCTTGTAACTTCTTTGTTGGACTATATAGGCTAACGGTAAAAACTAAACTCTATTTACCTCAACCATTAAATTTTTTTTTTTGTTTTTTCTAGTGATACAAGAAAGTTTTAGGTGATAGATGAGATAAATTATGTTATAACAATGTTAAAAAAAAAAAAAATTTACGTCTCACGGTAAAATTGTCACCTCATGGGTGACACATGTACACCAGCATATGTGAAAAGTGAATATCAATGTTATATGAAATGATGATTTCTTTAGTATCACTGGTTACCTCAATAATTGTTATGTCATCTTGATAATTGAAATTATCATTTTAGAGATAATTTGTATCACATCATTTGTAGAGGGAAAGAGCTTAAAGAGAATACAATACTTGTAGCATCTCTTTTAAGGAAGTACACGAAATTAATCCAAAGCGAGATCGACAAGCGAAAGAAACAGTAAAAGGAAGGAGATACTATATTATGTGATTCTATTTAATTAAGTAATATATATTTAGATATAATTAAATTTTAATTATAATCATCAACTAATAAAAAAAGTTTAATTATAATATAATTATTTAGGATATGATCTTAATGGGAAGAGCTTTCTTAATTACTTATCTTAAACATTATGCTCTCGTTTATAAATAGATAGAACCTCGTAAAGATTCAATATGGATACGTGACATTATTGAGATATTATAGATTTTTTCTTATATTTTCTTAGTCACGTAAAGTTATTGAGAGATTACAAATCTTTTCTTATCTTCTCTTATCTTAATCCAATACTTATAACGATCTTATGAAGGATAGGAAAATAGGAGAAGATAAGTTTAGTTCTCCTTATAGATCAATATCAGTAGTTTTCGAATGCGACGATGATGCTATTATAGATAAGATAAATATATCAAATAAGGGCTTTATGAATGATATCAAAAGGTATACATTATACATTTGATCTATTGCTATTTGATTTTAGTTTCTGATATTAAAGTTTTTCATATAATAATAGTATATTATAATTTTTATATTTACAATTGATATCATAATCATATTTTAGAATCAAATACTTTAGATCGTAAAAGTATTTCAGATCTATTTTATATTTAAATATGTTATTAGCACTCTTCGCTTGCGAAAGGGTATTATTTGATTTTGATTTATGATGTTTAAATAATTTATTTTTGTTATGGATCTACTTTCTTATCTCGTCCATTTTAAGATGGTTAATATGAATAATTTTATTCTCTAAGAATGATAAGTACTTTAACAGTTATATGCATTATAGTATAAATTACTTGATGATTAGAGAAATAAGTTCAAAAATAATTAATATTAATTAAAAATTTAAATTTTAATGTATTAATTATTGATCTATTCACTAAGGCTTTACCGTGCAAAGTATTTAAAAAAATATATTCTCATAATTGGGTTTCTATATAACTTATAAAAGATATAGTAATTCATGTTTGAGTGGACATTATAATCAACATTTAGTTTAAATATTTAAAGTTATTTATTTATGCTATTTTATTCGTATTTATGTGTGTATATATTATAGTTAAATATGATAACAAGATTATCTTGATAAGATAAATTATATTGGTCATCTTAAACTACATTATGAAGGGTTAATAGTATTATAATGCATAGAATGAAGTATGTCATTAATGACATATAACTACTATGATTCGCATTAGTAGTTAGACTTAATGTAGTATTATCTTTATTAAATTTATTGGCTTATTTTGTAAAATTTATGTGTATTTATAATTTTTTTTCAAAAATTTAAAAAATAATTAAGTAAAATTATTTTTAAATAACCTTTTCTTTTATTTATTTTGATTTTAATTTTTTTATATCTTACGAATTCATGAATCAAGTGAGAGAATATTAGATTATGTGTCTCTATCTAATTAGGTAAGATATATTATGAATATGATTGGATTTTGATTATAGTTATCAGCCAATAAAAAAAAATTCAATTATATTAATATTCCTTATGAGATAACCTTGATGGGAGAGACTCTCCTAATTACTTATCATAGACCCTCTACTCTCATCTATAAATAAACAGAACAACTCAACGCAGATACGTGAAGTTATTAAAAAATTATAGATATTTTCTCATATTTTTTTTGTCATATGAAGTTATTAAGATATTACAGATCTTTTCTCATATTCTCTTGTCCCTAATATATCGCTTATAGTGGTCTTGTGAAAAATAGAAAGAGAAGATAATATGAGTCTAATTATCCTTACAGATCAACATGATTGTTGTTTTCAGATGCAATGATAGTGCACCTGTAGATTAAATAAATACTTTTTAAATGACATCGAAAGGTATATATCATAAATTTGATTTATCGTTATTTAATTTTAGTTTTTGATATTAAAATTTTTGGTATAATAGTAGCATATTATAGTTTTTATGCTTACAGGAGAGGCCAGCGAGTAGCAACCTCTCCTATGAGCAATCCTACCTCTCCTATAATTAACCTCTTCATAGCCTATTATTGAATTTCCCTAACAGAGAATCATCGTAGAACACTTCTATCTTTATCCTCGACGTCAAAAGATATAAAAGCAACTATAACAGAATCAACCTCTTATATAATGCCTAATAGAATTGCTGTTAGTTGAGAGATCAAGAAGGAAAGAAAAGGATAATTGGCAACAAGATCTATTTATGCTTATTGAAACTCTTCGCTTTAGTTTCCTCTCTTTGGCACTTTAAATTTATAATAAGAATATATTATTGTTTTTTAAAATATATTTATTGTAATAAAAGCATAATTTCATTAAAATTTTCCATATGAGAGGTGATGGCTCCATAGATTGTTGAACTAAAATCTCATACGGATCAAAAACCTATATACTCTTAGAGGTGATTGTGCTACATCATTTGTCACCTTAAAGATTAAAACCATCATCCCAGAGGCAGTTATGTTATGATTTCAATCACCTCAATCATCTTTCCAACCAATCTAATCATCTTATCCTGAAGTAGTCGCGAGCCCAACTATAAATAGCTAATCATTCTTTTTTTCTTATCTTTTTAAACTCTAGATGTCACTCTAAATAGGACACTTAACTAATTTAAGCATCAAAGAAACTAAGTCGAAACTATCTAACATCAATATTCTACAAGTATATTGGTAATCTATCAAGAGTTCTCTAACATATTTAGACTATTATCAACTAATTTGTACTCGAAAGAGATTAATTTGTAGTAAGCATTGGCCATTCTAATCCAATGAGCTCAAAAACATAGCCCAAGGTGGTTTAAGATTAAGATTAGTCAGAGTCCAATCTAATAAACCAAATACACATATTATGTACAAACATATGCATAAACAAATAAAGCTCAATTCAATTTTAATCGAATCCAATTAGATAGAACTTCACATGAAATCAATTTCAAGCCTAATACATAAATCCCCCAACCGAATTTAATCTGTTAAAAAAAAACAGTTCTCGGTAGACAAGCCTAATCAAAGAAATCCTAATCAAATTCACAATCTTCATTTAAGATAAGAACTTATAAAGATAAAACAAGATGAGATCTAGGTGACTTATCTGATATAGATTCTCTAGCACAAAGAAAATTGTTAATCCATGACGTTCATAAATGAGAATTATTATAATGCATCCACCCAATCCTTTTTTTTTTTTTTTCATCGATAGAGACAAATATATTAGTTTGATTCTACATAAATAAATAGATACATGATTCCAATACTTGTTGTTAGAAAAGGATCTAATATATATTATACTTTGATGATAGACTCAAAATGGGCACATAAAAAAAAATAATTTCAATGTGTTAGAAATGTGGTGGTGTCAATTAGCTTTGTTAGTGGGACTGATCTCTTGGTAGGCATAGCATTATTGTTCCTTCTCTCACCTTACATCAACGTCCCACCAGTTGGAGTTCATTCGCAATCACACATCAGAGAAATGGAAAAGAAACATGAAGAACAACGAGGTGGGAAAGAATATGAATACCTTATGTGATGAATGTTACTGCTGATTAGGCCAAATGAAACAGTGCTGTGCTTGTTGTCTCTTAGGAAGGGACACTCATCTCAACATCGCGGCAGTAGTGCACCGAAGAACTCACTGTTATGTCCAAGAACAAGTGATATGTGAGGAATGGCATGGACGTGAGCAGAAGCTTGAGGAGGGAAACTGCTGTGCTGCAAGATCCTTTTTTGCTTCGGGTGTAATATTAATCCCATATGGAAAATAAATTTGATTAATATATTATTATTAATTTTAATTTAAATATTTTGATCAGTAATTTAAATCATCAAACCTAGATCATGACATTAATCATACTTGTTGTTCGAGAAGAATAAGATATTGCTTGTGACGGTAAATTTAGTTTTTGTGCATAAATCTATTGGTAGATCTTGTTAGGTCGATAGGATCTTTCGATAAAATTGAGATCTTAAATATGTTATTATATTATTTTTTAAAAAAATAATATTTTTATAAAAATATTTAAGATAAAACTCTTCTCATTAAAGAGTTCATATAAATAAAAGTAATGTGAAGAGAGATATCAAATTAATTCGAGCATCCTAATGGCTCTAACAAATATGCTCTCGATATCAAATAAGTAACCTTTTATGATACATGAGCCTCTCAACTATCGTACCAATGCAGCATCTATCGTTTCTCGGAGATCTAATTATTGTATCTTATTATAACACCAAAACACAATGATTAAAATATTATCTGATACCAAAACATGCTACAAATTCTAATAAGAAAAGTATCGGCACTACCAACTCATCTTGTTACTCAAATCGAGGAGGCTATCTAAACAAAAGTATAGCGACTCTCATCAACTCTTTGTAGCCACCGATAAGAGATCAACCCATGATCCTTATAAAT